GCTACACCTTGGTTTTTCCTGAAACTCCAGCTATAAGTTAGTTAAACATTGTACTAAAACATATGTAAGAACTGGCTTGGGTAATTTAATTTGCGCTTCAGACGAACCTTCTGAACTTGAACAAATTTTGAGTAAAATATGAGACATTTGCATAATTCACCAACGCCTTGCTGTTGCCGAAAGGGATCATTGGCATTTCTTGAGAAGAAACCTGATGTACTTCTATAGTACGATACTTAATTTGCTAACATGCAATAGGAATTAACTTACCTTCATAGTTTAAGGCACTTGTTTTACTTTTTCTACTCTCGAGCTCCAAAATTCTGCTGGCGCTAAGGCATTTTGAAATTTGACCTCTAACGAGAGGTCATTGGAGATGGGCCAGGTTATTAAAATGTCACTCAAAGCGAATGAGCGTTATGATCTAAATTCTTAAGGAGGTTGAACAAAATATTTCACGAGAAAAATATGTTTTTAAGACAGTTTCGGCGATCTGAAAGATGTTCTTACCATTTAATAGAATCAGTTGCAACATACAGGGAGGAAGTGTGAGAAGACAAGGAGTGGTGTTGCGTGACAACGAACACCATCCTTCGAACTTACGAATGAGCAGAAAACAAAATTGTTTATACATTTCATTGATGTTTCCAAAGTTATTTGTTCAATTATACAACAACTGAAAGGTTGCATAGTCTGGCTGCCAACAGTACTTGATTTAAAAGTGTAAAGTGGTGGTCAGTTTTTCGGACACCTGCGCGTGTGATAAAAGCATTTTGAAAAACATCAAAATCATACACCCTGCCAGTACACCCAAACACTGAGTAGGTTTTAAACTTTTGACAACCTCGATAAATGATCTCGGAGGCGTTTTTTGGTTTGAGTGAAGAATCAATAAAAAAATCATGTTATTTCATATGTATATTTTGGGGAAGGGTGGCTCTGAATGTTACTTGGGTACTACCTAGTAAGACTCCGATGGAAAGGCCGTTGAGGGGATAGAAGAATCCGTCGAAAGGGTTACGCTGTAACTCTTGCTCAAGGATGTTAGGTAAGCAATTCGCTCTAAACCCTGTCTCCCCCTTTTCAAATGCTTGCACAGGCTAACCAACATTGAAAAACTCACATTAGCACACTAACAAAATATTGCAAAGTAATTGGAGAAATGCTATCCAGGCAGGGCGGCACTTAAGGCATGAGTTTCAGTTTCTAGTATCGAATATATAAAGGAAACTGGGGTCTAGAACGCTGACCTGTTCCTCTCTCATTCCTTTACCAAAGGATACGTCAAAGTATATCAAACAATTTCCTCCTCACAGCATGCTCGGCTACTCAAACAAGCTTTAACATTTGACACTAAGATGATATACCGCAGATACAGTAGGTTAGAAAGCTGGAATCAAACGTGTTTACCAATGGGTTAGGCCCTGACGTCTTCAAATTCACGTTAAAAGGACACTGTTTAGCCAAAGCATTCAGTTTACTTTTCCAGTAAATTCTGTCTTGCGGCCTTTGACAACGGACCAGGGGCCCGTTTCTCGAAAGTCCCGATAATTAACGGGCCCGGTAAGCAGTTGCCGTTTACATTAAAGATCGACGTTTCAATAGTTTTGCATCTAACATGATAAAACTATCAGTTAATGAAACAAAATGGAGTAGTTTGCTAGCCAGGACCCGCGCTCTTATTCTTTATATTTCGATTTGAATATTTGATTTCGGACCCGAAAAGTTACCGGGACTGCCCCAAGGGCCCGTTTGTCCAAAGTCCCTATAACTTTTCGGGCCCGAAATCAAATATTCAAATCGAAATAAAAGGAATAAGAGGAGCGCGGGTTCTGGCTAGCAAAATACTTCATTTTTTCATTAACCGATAGTTTTATCATGTTAGATGCAAAACTATTGAAATTTCTATCTTGCATGTAAACAACAACAGCTTTAGGGGCCTGTTAGTTATCGGGACTTTCGAGAATTGAACGGGCCCAGAAGCGGATGCAGCCTCAATGTCCGTTTCGTTGATGACGGCCAGAGAAAGTTATAGTCGGAGACTTTCTTTTCAAGAGTTCTGATCATGAATTTCTGACGAGCCATCAAGTTTCAGTCTCAAGACCGGTCCCAAAGCGCACACTCAGAAAATGGCAAATGACCGAGAGTAAAACTGAAAAAAATAACTATGTGGGTAAAGAAAGTAGTGGTAGCGTTAGACGATAGTTGACAGGGGCACCCAACGACAGTTTCCTCCTAAGTATATTGAAAACCCTTTAAGGCTATCTAAATTACTAAGTTCTTTGCGGTGCCATATAATTATAACAACTGTTCGGTCATCCACAGGGCAACTTGAGTAGTCATTTCGATCGAAATTACAAGGGCTTTAATATTATTTTTTTCGAGAATTTTGAATTTTTTTCTGATTCCTTCTCTATTACAATTTCGTATCCCGAAAGTTTTAATTCCCTTTACGTGGAGAAAACCTGTCTCGTGTAGGAGAGTCACTTTCCCAGTCGAGAGAAAAAAAGACATTGACCCCAACCGGCCTTCGCGCATGCTCTAATTGTCTCGCCTTGGCTATGCGAGCCCTTTACCGATACGGATCGGATTTGATCGGATTTGGTCTCTGCAACTGGAATGTACCTTCCACTGGGCACGTGGTTTTTCCGAAATTTTAAACGGGAATTTTTGTTCAGTGGAAAGAGCGTAAAGTGCCTACGGAGAAACGTTGACCCGGCTAGGAGGCTGACCCTACCATTACAAAAGGGTGACTGGACAAAGTGGGTCACCCTTCTAGCCTAGCCAACTTTTTGTAATTTAAACGGTTCGCCATATTTTGTAAGGAAATGTGTGAAACGTTGCCTCTTCCAGGGAAGCTCGGATAGGCGGGTGACCCTTCTGCTCGAGACAAATTTTGTTCATATCAGCGGGGCCTAAATTTTAGTTCTTTACATTAATTTCCATAGTCCAGCTTTTGTTTTTTGTTCTACAATGTGGAAAACTGAAATTAAAAAATACAGTGGAAGACCGTTGATGCGACCAGCGTTGGGCCATAAAATCCTGGTCGTAACACCGAGGTCGCATTAAAGAGGTCTTCAAAAGAATAAAATGACTCGGAGATTTTCACGTCTGGGTGGAAAGACTATGGGAGGTGAGCTGAGGCAAGAGGTGGTCGTATAAACGGGGTGGTCGCAAAGCGGGGTTCCTCTGTGTATAAACAGAAACAAGAGTTTGTCGATCGAATAACCATGTTCAGATTAGAAAAAATATATGTACTGAAAAATAATTGCAGAATGTTTACGAAAACTGTTATCCAAAACAATGGAACTTGCATATGCGAGAGGAAAGACAGCCGCCTGATAGGTAATAACGCGGTGAAATAGCTAGAGATTGAAGCCTGAAGTCAGTCAAAGGCACGGACAAGGCAACGGAGGGAAGTTGACGTGAAAAACGATATTTTTGGACTTGTTTAGTATTGTATGGAATCACACTTTAAGAAAACTTAGGAAAAAAAACATAATTTGGATTGTTAGTAGCATAATATACTACTTCTGGCAAGAACATTCAAAAAGCCGCTCTCAAATGGTTAGATTGGGAAGCCTGTAAATACTGTCACGCAACACTTTTGATCAGACTTTTATGACCAAAGAGGTATAGGCAGCCCGAAAGTTTCACGATCAAAATCACAGTTCTTGTGAGACCTAGAATTTTTACATGGCAATGGATGTAAAAGTGTGACTGCGGAAAAGGAAGGCCATGTTCTGTTTGAGGTTATTTTCGCGCACCGCGTTTCCTCGAGTTTTTGGATCTTCGGTTGATTAGCATGGGACAAGGCGCAATGCCAGTTGACAAGAACGGGAAAACGCATTTGAGGTAACAAAAATTATCTTTTCAGTACAAATGTTTTTAATACAAGTGCGATTGTGAGTTAAGTTTCTTTTGGAGAGCCCAGCCATCGTGACTTGTCGAGCAACAACCAACCGACTTTCTTGAAAAGTCTCATATTTCAAGCAAATTTTATTCAACTTCAGAAGGTTCGTGTGAAGTACAAAGTTAATTACCCAGGCCAATCCTTATATATGTTTTAGCACAATGTTTAAATAACATATGACTTGAGTTTCAGGTAAAACCAAGGTGTAGCACATTCCTAAAATATAAAACGCAACTTTCAGTCTAAATTTAAATTTCGTTTAGTCGAAAAAGAACCCAAACTAAAATAACATTGTTTATCTTCCAGATTATCGTCAAGATAAGAATTCATCACCAAACCGGAAGTAGAACCCTTTATAAATTGATTTATCGGGAAATATTTTACCCCGCTTTCTTCCTGTGTGCGTGCGAGCGAAGGTTTGAGACCGCCTCATTTTGCCTCAAATTTTGGTTGTTTTCAAGTCGCCGATCACGAAAATTGATTTTGTCGATTTTCTCCAAATCCAAGCGGCCTATTGAAAAACAAACTATACCACGTTTAGTTACTTACTTATGCCCATCTATGGACAAGATATTAGCGAAAATGATTTTTTGACTGTGGCCGCGAAATTTCGATTTTGCTCGATTTTTACAGACATTTGCTCTTAAAAGCCTCCCAAACAAATTTGTGAAGATACAGGAACGGCTGACGTCAAATTGGATTGACTTTCTTTCGGTACAAGAAACAAAGATTGATGTGTCTTTCCCAAACACTCAGTTTCATGTCGATGCATACAACCTTTTCCCAAGGGACAGAACTAAAGGAGGCAGTGGTATTGCAGTGTTTATTTGGGATACTATTGTTGCTCCCGAAAGAAACAAAACTGCAAACAATAAGAATCTATCATGGTCGACTTGCAATCGGCCAAAGAAATGTCGTTCTTATTAGTGCATACAAACCACCACCTATCGATAATATTTCTTTTACAAGCGAACTGATTACTCTACTGGACAACCCTTTTTGCATAACTAAGAACGTGATCTTTATTGGAAACTTGAATTGCGATATACTTAATCCGCTCCACAACAAGGAACAGGGGAAATGCCTCTTAGATATTTGCGATGTTTACGATCTCGCCAGTCTTATCACAAGTCCGACACAGATTTCCAAGAACACTGCTCCCTGTCTGGATGTCTTTCTTACAAATGTCCCAGTTTTCATTTAAGACTCTGGCGTCATAGAGACAGGCCGTAGTGATCACTGCCTGATCTACGCTGGGTTAAACACAAAACTGATGCGCCCTAGAGCCGACATTGTTACAAGGCGATCCTTTAAAAATTTCAATCAGGATGCCTTTCTCTGAGACCTACGCATAGTGCCTTTCTCGGTCGTGTCCGCTTTTGACGACCCTGACAATGTTTACTGGTGTTGGGAGAAACCTTACAATGTTGTCCTTGATGGAGATGCACCTGTTGTCACCATAAATAAGCGACGTACAACAGGATCGAAATTCATTACACCCGACATGCACAAAGCCATGAGGGAACGCGATGGTCTGAAGGAGAAATGTAACAAATCTAGAAATTCAGAATACTGGGAAAATTACCGATTAATCAAAAATAAAATTGTCAGCATCAGAAGAAAAGTATTACAGGGCTATGTTAAATGACCATGTGTAGACAAATATGCAAATCAAAGACAGGTTTAGGTTACAATTTAGCCTTAAATTAATTCACACAAGAATAAACATTATGGGCGCATTGTATTAAAGGACAATGGAAGTGTCGTAAGGGACCAAAGAAAGGTAGCGGAAACTTTGAACAACTTTTTCACAAGACTTGGTCGTACTGAACAGAATACTTCAGGTGCGAAACTCAACCCCGACGTTTCTCGCATACAGCAAAACCTAACACCTAAACCTCCATTGTCCTTAAGGAAAACAAACCCCGCCAAAGTAAAAGAAGCTATGATGAAGATCAAAGCAAACAAGGCAACAGGCTGTGATCGTATTCCACCGAGAGCCATAAAAGAATCTGCCGAAATACTGTGCCACCCTTTATCCTAGATAAGTCTAAGTTACCTCAACGATGGAAACTCCGAGAAGTCTCACGAGTTTTCAAGAAGGATTGTTGCTTGATCAAGGCTAACTACAGACCGATAACTATTTTGCCGCCTTGGTCAAAAGTATTTGAAACTAAAATTCATTCAAGAATCAGTCCCTATTTTGAAGATATTTTTTTGAACATGTATTCGCATACAGGAAAAATCATGGAACGGATACTGTTCTGCTAATCCTCGCAGAACAGTGGAGAAAGGAACTTGACCAATATAATATCACTGGAATTGTGTCGATGGACCTTTCCAAAGCATTCGATACCTTAAATCTTATGGAGCTGACGATAACACCAATCGACTTGAGCGGGTTAAGGTGACCAGTACTCAAAATAGAAAGAAATCTCAGCAGGAGTCCCCCAAGGCAGTGTACTAGGGCAATTACTATTCAATATATTTGTGAACGACCTTATTTACGCTGTCAAACGGAGCAAATTGTCCGCGTATACTGAAGATACCCAAATATTTTTCGCGATAGTAAGTCAGAGGTGATCAATGCTGATCTCGCTAATGTTGATTGGTGGTACGAGGAAAATGGCATGAAGAGAAATCCTTTTAAGTATCAAGCAATAGTTATGGGCAGGATACAAACTATGCCAAAATTCTACTGCGAAAACACGGCTATTCCTAATACTGAAGAACTCGAGATGCTTAGAGTCACAGTTGACGATAAAATAAAATTTGAAAAGCACATAGAAAGTATCTGCCGAAAAGTTTCCCAGCAGGTTGTTGTGCTTAAGAGGATGAAAAAGATCCTCCCATTGGAAACAGGGAAGTGTCTTCACCTCTCATTTACCATTCCTCATTTCAACTACTGCTCAGAGACGTGGCATTTCTGTAACAAAGGTGCCACTGCAAAGCTATTTCTTGCCTTGTCTCTTCACAATTTTTCACTAAAAGGGCGTGATTTTGTCTTCGAAGAAACTACTTGTCAGAATGGCTATGTCATTTCGGCGTCCCTTCGTCGAATGAAGTTGAATGAAGCGGGTCTTCTGGTGAATGAAACTGGCATTGATCGAACAAAAACAATTTCATTATTATCTTCCACAGGGTCGCTGTCTCTTTGTTTGTTTATTCTTAGCGGAGATATTGCTCTGAACCCGGGACCCAAGTATCATTATCCATGTGGTGCTCGTTCCAAACCTGTCAAAGTAAACCAAAAAGGCGTCCAGTGTGATTCTTGCGACGCGTGGTTCCACACTAAATGTTGACGTACCACCTACTGTGTTTACCACTCAAGGTATTGAACGATATCAATTCTAAGAAAGCTCATGGCCCTGATCTGATCCCATGCCGTATCCTCAAAGAAGCAGCCACAGAGATTGCTCCATTCTTACAGTTCCTATTTACACAATCTTTGGAATCTGGAAGTGTGCCAAGTGACTGGCTGATGGCAAATATTACACCTGTCTTTAAAGAAGGTAGTAAACATCTTGCTGCTTATTACCGCCCTATCTCACTGACTGCTGTTCCATGCAAGATTCTAGAACATATTGTTTTTCGTGATATAACGGCTCACCTAGACTCTAACAATATTCTCTCAACATGGCTATCGCAGGAAATTTTCTTGTGAAACCCAGCTAATAACCACAGTCGAGGAAATAGCCAAAGCTATTCACAATGGTAAACAGACAGATCTTATTATTATGGACTTCTCCAAAGTCTTTGACGTAGTTCCTCACCAGCGCCTAATTACTGTACTAGATTATTATGGCATACATGGTCACCACAAGGTCTGGCTAACCAACTGGCTTACTCGTAGGGAACAGACTGTCGTAGTTGATGGCGTCTCATCTCGTCCAGTTCATGTATCATCTGCTGTTGCACAGTGAACCGTTTTAGGTCCTCTCATGTTTCTATTATATACAAATGACATTGGTTCTGATTGCTCCTCCACTATACGCCTGTTTGCAGATGATATCATCTTATATAGTATTGCAGAGTCAACAAGTGATGCTAAACATCTTCAGTCTGATCTATCCACCATAGAACGCTGGTCACAAAAATCTCTGATGCATGGAATTCGTTGTACGTCATGGCTCTTTAATTAATGACAATGCATGTAGTGTTTGAAAAAGCAAACATATTATCAAAGTAAAAACTGTGAGGAACTCGTAGTTAAAAAAAAAAATTCATGCTATAAAATAAAGTATTTATTTCAAGTTGAAATGATCATGTACCTCTCAAAACACCCTTCCCTTATTCAAGAGTTCAGTTTCTAAAAATGGCCACTCTGGTAATCTAGCCACCATATTTTTTGTTATACTGAAAATGCAGGCTGTCTTTTGGCGTGTTTTTCGTTTGTAGTTCGCAAAGTAAGATATACAGGCGGGCAAAACCAAAGTTTTCTGCCTTCATCCCCTCGCCCCATCCCTTATTGTTGAACTCAGTTCAGCTTTCGTATAACCTGCGATCAGGCTCTATTTTCAAATGAAGGCTACTAACATTGGGCCTGACCTCAGGTAACTTTAGCGCTGCTGTGTATACTTTACGAACTGCAAACGAAAAACACACCAAAAAAACTGCATGCTACTCAGGCTACTGGAACTACTCGCGAAGCAAGCGACTTTTGTGCTACGTTTTTTATAATGAAAATAACTGATGGAAGGTACAGAATGTTGTATATGAGTATATTTCAACGCCTTGTTGAATTCCCAGGATTATCAGCTGTGGAAGAATGGGATTCACTGTAAAGGGAAATATTACCGAGCACTATTCGAGATACACACTAAGTTTGAGATTCTCTTGAGTAAACAAGTGGGAAGGCGCGCATCAAAATGGTTATTGAATATGAGCGTACTATTCTGAGGCGAATTCAATGCAATGAAATTCCAGCCCGTGTTCTTCAAGAACTGGACCCATCTATTGCACCTTGGCTTAGTTCTATATTCCAACAGTCCTTTGACACAGGAGCAGTACCCTCTGACTGGACTAAAGCCCTGGTTACAGCTATTCATAAAAAGGATCCAAAGTCAAACCCTGCTAATTATCGCCCTATTTCTCTTACTTCCTTATGTTGTAAGGTTATGGAACACATTATTTTGAGTCACATTGCAAAACACTTGGCCGCAAACAATATCCTGATCGATCAGGAACATGGATTTAGACAACGCCTCTCGTGTGAAATTCAACTTACTTCACTGAGCAATCAATGACTGGGCTAAATGCATTAACTCGCGCTCACAAACTGACGTAATCCTTCTTGACTTCAGCAAAGCCTTTGACTCTATACCTCATCAGCGTTTACTATTAAAACTTGATTATTATGGAATATGTGGAAAGACTGCTGCATGGATCAAGGTCTTCTTAGGCAATCGCTCCCAAGTGGTGTCTGTAAATGGCACTCACTCCAGCCCTCGGCCTGTACCTTCTGCTGTACCCCAAGGCTCAGTACCTTGACCTGTTTTATCCTTACTATGTGTTAACGAAATAACTGATCACATCCAGTCAACAATGCGTCTCTTTGCAGATGACAGCATTGTGTATAGGGAGATTAAGACTACTTGTGATCATGCACTGCTCCAGTAGGACTTAACCAGCTTATGTGAATAGGCTGAAACCTACATTGTAGCAAATAAACTTTAATATCACTGAATGTTATCACTTAGGGATTACTAGTAAGGTTGTCCCCTTTTCCTATAATTATCTCATGAATGATATTGTTATTGCTAAATCACCAAATATCTTGGAGTAACTCTAACTTATAATCTTAATTGGAATCAACGTTGTGATAGTATTTGTAGTAAGCACACTTAGTCTTCTGAGTAGGGTGTTGTCGGATTACTCTTGTGTGTGCTTAACTAGAGTATGCTTGCTCTGTGTGGAACCTGTATACTAAACGGAATATTCACCAAATCGAACTAGTTCAGCATAGAGCAGCAGGGTTCGTTTTTGGAGACTACTCAAATTTTAGTCATGTTACATACATGTAAAAACAGCTTGGTTGGGACACTCTTGAACAACGCAGACTTTCGTACCAATTATCAATGTTTTATAAAATCCAACAAGGTTTAGTTGGTATCTCCCTTCCATCTGAAGTATGTTCACTAACAAGGGCTTCTCAAGCCCCCAATGTATTCCCTTCCGTTATATTCAATCCAGAACGTCTGCTCAATAGTAACCTGGAAAACGTTACCTGTAACCACTGATATTTTTCCCTTCACTAATGGTATAATGCCCACAATAAATTCCATGATTAGGTTATTATAATATTAAATTTTAGAGTAGATAGAATCTTGAAAATAGTAATTTTATAATGTGGATATCTATTTTAGACTTGACATATAAATTTTTCTTTTATCCATAATTATTATTTATTTATATATTTATTTATTTATTTTTATCTCCTAGTATGGTGTACACTGTTTTAAGAGTATCCCGATTCAATTATTAAAAAGCCAGACATCTTATGTCTCTTCTCTTGTTGACAGTAATATTTTAGACTGTTAGTCGAGAAGTGGCCTCGCCGTCTGAGAATTTATCCATCCCTAGGCATAATTAGCTGATTTTCAGTGTAAAACGACTTTTGGCGCAGACTGTAATCCATTTAGAGAGCCCCTCTGGAGATCACCCTGCGAAGTTTTAGAAGTTTGCGGCTTAAACAATCACGTTAATATCGCGATTTATCGGCAACAATCCCCCCTGTCATGTTACTGAAAATTTAGACCGTCCTAGCGGTGCTTATGATCGAGATGCTCGCAGTGTACAATGTATATGTTACATTTATTTTTTGACTCAGTTAATTTGTATTTTTCTATTGTTTTTGGGTATGTTATTGTATGTTAATGAACTTTAAACAAAGGAAAAACAAAAA